GTAAAAGGAAACTGCGACCTGGGACAAGTTGAATGCATGTTATGCAAGTACAACTCCTCCGGTTTCATATGCAAAATAAAAATGATTGCGCTAGCTTATGTGCTGTGTACACAAATGGGAGCGTGCGCGCTTCGATGGGCTTAAAGGGTTAAATAACTCTGTGGTTGTGTCACCTACAGATAAGCTCAGTGTTCTCATGTCAAGATTGTGACAAACTGCTGAAGTACAAAGACTGCTTCTTGTGATGTGAAACCTTTATCAGGCCAGGTCCTTATTTTCCAGGGTTATGTTCCAGGACTAGAGACGTCCTGTTTCCAGGATGTGTGGTAACCGTGTGTGAGGTGTTCTGTGGTCAGAGAGGCGACCGTACCTATGAGAGCCTGGAAGAGATTGCTCTGGAAGATGTCGATGACCCTCTGGATGGAGTGTCGGAGCTGCCGGTCCTCGGTGTGGTTCAGCTTGGCCCGGTACTGCTCCAGCAGCTGCAGCGCTCGCTGTGCGTCTGTACAACAGGAGGAAGCAGCGAGAGAGGTGAGCCGGGGATACGACAGAGCCGAGGCTCAGCGACTAACGAGGACTGATCTGAGACGAGATGGCAGCAGAGGGCCGCTTCAAACCGTCAGACGGGCACAAATAATCCCTCTGTGCTGAAACGCTGAGCTGCACTGGCAGCAGGCACGCACCGGGAGAGGGAAATAATACTTTAAAAATCCAAACATGCATGCGTTTAAGACTGCGGGCAGGTTTTAAAGGAGTATAAACGAGTTAAAGAGGCCTCTCCCCAGCGGATAAGTATAAAGGTCAGAGTATCAGGCTCGGCTCAGAGGGAAGCATTAAGGACAGATTTACTACATGTCTGCTGCTGACAGTCACATTCAGACCAAAGCAAATCTGATAAAATGATTAAGCTGAAAGTAGTAAATAGAAAGTCGCCTCAAATCATGACCCGAAGGCTTCATTCAGAGCTTTGCTTTAAATTCGAGGCTTCAACTAAACATCATTTTAATGCAGATCATCGTCCAATAACACCGATCGATCACAGACATGCAAACAGCGTAACATCGCTGCAGCTGGACGTGGAGAAGATTCAGGACTTTGACTGCAACTCTGTTGGATGGTCACATTTCTGCTGGTTTACTTGTTGGTGAATCAGCTTTAAATAAAGGTCAGTGCGTGACTGCAGCACGGCAGCGAGAGCGTCGGCTCGGCGCAGAGTTTCAGGAAGTCAGAACCCGAAGGAATCTACCGAGGTCGTTATTGTTGAGCGATGTCATGTGACTCTTACGACTTCTAATTAACTGGATCATTTACAGGACAGAAGAACCTCACACAGACAGCTTCCTGGACAGTTATGCACACAGCGACACGTTTACCATCAGATTGTTGTTTCTACCATCATTAACCTGCTCTCTCACTTCGATTCATGCCTGCTGCTGATTGGCTGTGAGTCTCGCCTGTAAATAAAACACACACAAAGCCCGAGGAGGCGGCGCGTTGGGCCTCTCGCCTCCGTCAGCACTGATTTAGATGAATTGGCAGTTCGCTGCGTCCTGCTTCTGGTCTTGGTTTCATTATTGTTGTTTCAAGCCTAATTTAGGCAAGAAGCCTGAATCCTTCGGCTCACGCTGGAACCAGCAGAGAAAACTCGAACTAAGACATAAAACCATCAAAACCATAAAACAACGTGGAGCTGGAAGTGCTGGC